TATTCCTATTCCTATTCCTATTCCTATTCCTATTCCTATTCCTATTCCTATGCTATTCCAAAGAACCCACCCCTTTACACACAAGTGGCCTCCTGCTTTATATACCTAAAAATTGTATTTTAACCCCAAGCATGAATTTCCAAACAACTGCAGGTTCCCAATACTATCCCAAGGGAGAGGGATTTCCCTGTGCTGAGACCTTCCCTCAGCAAAGAGAAAGACATTTCTCACCCTAGCGCCCAACAAGTGCAATGCAGCCCTAATGAGACACTAATTAGGAGGGAACTGTTCCATAACTTCTGTTGGTGCAAGCATTGAATGGGAAGCTGGACTTGCCCAGCAGTGTTTCATACACATCCATGGCAGTAAATGACTGTGCCTGAAGCTCTGCACCAAAAGCAGGGATGAACCAGCTGCTGTTTCCCAGCTCTGTGTCCCAAGGAAAGAGCCATCAGTCTGTAAACTCTGGGTTAAGGGAGCCAGTTTCACTTCATTATCCTATTACAATAATAGAGTTTTTACAGCCTGCTTTGCTGTGCTGATCCAGTATTTTTAATAACTTCAGTGAAATTAGTTTGTGATTTCAGCCTGACAAAGTAGGTTCTCCCACATCAAACCAAGCGTTGCTGCATTTGGTGTTAATTAGAGCTGCAGTCTAGAGGCACATCGGGGGCTGGGGTTTATAAATTCACTTCAAAGACTCCATTTGTATATTTTTGCACAATACCCAGCATAACACACGCAGGACAATTTTCATCTGTGAAAGCAGAACTCGTTGCAAATAAAGCTCAGACTTTTCTGTCACATTAGAAGAGAATTGAGACCTCTGGTTAAGGCCACGTGAAGAGTGACAACGTGTAATTTAGCTTGTGTGTTTGGAATTTTTCATCTCCAGAGGTAGAAATCCCTGTACATAAAGCTCAGATTCTTCTGTTGTATCAGAAGAGAGTTAGAAATCCTAGGAAAAATTCAGCTCCTTTTATTCTAAGTTGCAGCTGCTGCAGAAGGATGAGCACTGGGGACTCTGCAATTTGGTGCACAGAGATTTCACCACAGGAGTTGCTTCTTCCTTTCCAGGAACTGCTGCAAACCTGTTATTTGCTTTGGCTTTTCCTTAACTTTCTGTCTCCTGGAGCTGTAAAGTCTGACTTTGGATGCACTTCACCTTCCCTGCTGCTGCAAACTCCGTGCACACTCCAGAGGAGTCTCCTGTGCTGGCAGGCCAGGCCTGGCCATGGACCTCTGCAGCTCTTGGGAGCACCAGGTTGGTTTTCCATGGGGTGGCTGGAGGGGGTTTTCCTATGAGTGTTGGCAGAGGGCTCCTGTAATTACCTGAACACCATCCTTGGGCTTTCTGTCACCCTCAGGATGATGTATAATGTATATATATTATATATATACACTTGCCCCATCCCTGGAAGTGTCTAAGGCCATGTTGGCTGGGGCTTGGAGTAACCTGGGATAGTGGGAGGTGTCCCTGCCCAGGGAGTGGGACTGGATGGGCTTTAAGGTCCCTTCCAACTCATACCACTCTATGATTCTATATATTATATATAGATATACATTAAAATAGTATATTGTAGTGTTAAGTCAAATAAGAAGAGGTTCAGTCTGGGGTAGATGTTGTTGTGCAGAGTTTAAAATGTCCCTTAAGCAGCTCCCTAAGATCCCCAGCCAGACCCTCCAAGCTCTGTGGACACAGGGATACCAGCATCCTGCCCTTGCTGTGGGAATTTGGGGAGCAGCATCCTGCTCTGGGTGGGGTGGGGGCAGGGAGGAGCGGGGGTGCTCCAGGGAAGCTGTCCCTGCCCATTCCACGATCCAGAGCGGTGCTGTCGGATCTCCCGGCACTGCAGCACTGAGTGAGGTGAGCTGGGCTCCCAGATCCATCTCAGGTGATGTGAGGGCTCTACAGACACTGCCACAGTGGGGGGGACTCCTTGCTGTGTGTCAGCTCTGTCCTGTGCCAGGGGCACTCCCAAAGCACGGGCACTTTGGGCACTGCTGCAGAACCACCCCGGAGCAATGCCTTGGGGCCCTCCTGGGGTGGCCTGAGGTAGAACTGCAGAATAATAAAGGTTGGAAAAGACCTCCAAGATGATTAGATCCAACCTTTAACCCAGAACCACTGTGGTGTTGGTTTTTAACAGCTGGGGAAACTGAGGCACAAAGCAGGGAGCAGGGACTGGTCTGAAGTCACAGAGCAGAATTCCAGGTGGAATATGGGCCTCTCCAGACGCAGCCCTGCCTTTCCTAATCCACCCCCCACCACAGACTCTGTTTTAGGTGCTGCTGCAGCACGAATTTTACAGCCCCAGCCCTCCACTTACACATCACCTCCGAGTTCACTGCACCGAATTAAGTCTCCCAACACTTCTGCGAAGGGGCTAAATACACCCAGCTTGCACAGCCCGTGCCAAAAACAAGTCACTAAATGCATTGAACTCCGTGTCATAAAATAAGGAACAGTCCCAATAAATTCCTGCTTTGCCTTTCAAGATTGCCGTGGAATTCGGGCCGTGCCGAGCCGGGAGCGGCTGATCCGCAGGTGAGCGCTGCCATCCTGTGGCTGCAGCACAGAAAACAACCTCCGGGATCGCTCCTTCCCTCTGGCAGCATCCCTGATGATCCCCAGCATTCCTGGTGGTCCGCAGCATCCCTGATGGTCCCCAGTATCCCAACCCGCCCCCATCCTGGGCTGTCCCAGCGGAGCAAAGCGGGGATGTGTCCCACATCACTGCCTTGGCATGTGCTCAGCCAGGACTCACAGAATCCCAGAACGTGCTGAGCTGGAAGGGACCCACAAGGATCATCCAGCCCAACCCTCAGCCCTGCACAGGCCCAGTCCCAAGAGTCACCCCCTGTGCCCCAGAGGATCAGCCAAACCCTCCTGGAGCTCTGGCAGCCTTGGGGCTGTGCCCACTGCCCTGGGGAGCCTGGGCAGTGCCCAACCAGCCTCTGGGGAAAGAACCTTTGCCTGAGATCCAACCTGAGCCTGTCCTGACACAGCTCCAGCCCTTCCCTGGGTGCTGTCCCTGGTCACACAGAGCAGAGCTCAGTTCCTGCCCCTCCTGTGCCCCTCGATGCTTTCTGTGCTTAAATTTGACAGCAGTGTAAAAAAGGAGCCACAAAGTCTCATCTCCAGCCTTCCCTTCCTTGGCCACCTCCTCTGAGCAGGGGGAATTTCTGCCTGTCTTATGCAGCAGGAGTTTGTTCAAGTGTAAGTCTCCCCAGGCAGATGCTTCCACCTCAGGAATGTCAACTTGACCTCAGGAGGTATTTTTTGGTGTGTATTCAAGCAGCCTTGGAGAGAGCTTTAGCCTTCCTCACTGTTCCAGTGACACCATCACAGGGTTAAATGCAATTTCGGGCCAGGGCTGGTGCTGTCAGAGGTTCCCCGGGCTGCAGGCAGGAGCACAGATTCAGGAACTTGCTCAGCTTCCCTCTCTGCTCCCATTCCTGGCATTGTGGTGTGGTTTCTCCTGTGTGGGGAACAGGAACTAGGCCACCCCAGGATGGTGGTTCAGGGCAGGGGTGGGTTGAGGGAGCAAACTGAAGGGGAAATAAAGGCTGTTCCCATTGGAATTCCCATGATTGTAAGCACAGGAGAGGGAAGGGGATGTGACACCTCGGCTGCTCTCACTGAGAACTTGTTTCTGGGTGAGCAGCAGAGTTTCCAAGGAATTGGGTACAGGTAGGAGTGATCCAGGCAGGAGTTATCAAGGCAGGCTGTGGCAGTGCATTAGCAGTGATCTGCCACATTCCAGCACTGCAAGTCAAGATGAGCATCTAAACAGTGTGCCAGGGTTTGTTGTTATTGTTGTTGTTGTTGTTATTTACTATTATATTATTATTATTATTATTATTATTATTATTATTATTATTATTATGATGTCCCTTTTCACCAGTTACTACCATAGTGTGTGTGGAGACAGTACCCAGCATATGTCAGTGTACTAAAAGCATTTATTTTAATTCATGGCCCTTCCCCCAGCAGTCAGCAGGATGCCTTATTCATTTGCCAGCAGGAGGGTAAATCTATTTCAAAATGATTGAAATATTATGCACAGCTTGAATGAATGTTTAAAATAAATACAGTAGAAGAAACATGTTGTTTGTGAAATGAGAAGATAAATTAAGCTCAGTGCAGACACGTTATTCCCAAGCCTGGTTGCTTGGCTTTCACAGCAAAATCCTTCAGGCCTTAATCCAGCAGCAAGTACATGGTATGATTTCCTCTCCTGAAGGAGCAGGACTTTCTCTCCAGACCTTTGGAGGGTTTGGACCAGGCTGTTGCCTCCACAACATCTTAGGGATGGGCCTGTGCAGGGCCAGGAGTTGGACGCAATGATTCTTGTGGGTTCCTTCCAACTGAGAATATCCTGGGATTCTGTGTTCCACTTTGGCAGGATGGATAGACAGACAGGGAGAGGAGAACCCTGAGCCCTGAGCAGAGCTGGAAAAGTGAAACCCTGTCACGGGGGAAGGAACAAGCCTTTGTTTTCCAGTATCAGGTCTGTGGTTCCCTCCAGCCACTTCTGCTCAGCAAGATTAAATTTATTTTCATCCTCTTAACTGAACTTGCTTTTAATGGCAGTGGGGGTGACAGCCCCAAAATAGACTTCCCATGGAGCCCGTCCTGCCCGGCCCGTGTGCCGCCTGTCCCCGATAACCCTCCTCCTCCCGGCCTGGGCTTTATCTCTGCCATGACAAACAGCTCTCCCCGGACAGAAAGAGGAAATTCCACTCATTGTTGTGCTGTGCTGGCACTGCTGCTGCTCTATCTCCTGCCTGCTCGGGGCTGGCAGGGCTTCCTGAGGTGACAATCAGCGGGAGGCTCAGGGAGGAGGGGTTCAGGCCAAGATTCCCAGTAAGTCCCAGTTTGAGCCCACTCTAAGTAAGCCTGACAGCTCAGCCATGGCCCTGTCAGCTGTGCATACATCCCCTTTGTATCTCCTGATCCTGCAGTAGCCAGTCCCTCCTGTACTACCAAAACATGGAAAAGAACCATCACCCCTCCCCTGCTGCTTCTGAGGCGGGTGGGACTGTCAGGAGAGTGAACAACAGGTACCATCCCTGCAGGCTCATCCAGCAGCTTCTGTTTGAGTTGTGGTAGCACTTAAAACTTCTAAAACTGGAATGGCACCTCCTCATGCTTGTGCTGTAGACAAAGGGCAAAAGGTTCAATATTTGGGTCATGAAGAGCGCTGAGGTTTAGGATTTTGAAATGGCTTTCCAAGGGCACTGCCTGAAAATGCATTTTTTTAGGGACTCTCTAAACTTTGGAGGGTGGACACCACCTCCTGGACAGGCACTGGATACGATTTGATTTATTTTTCCCACTAGCACTAACATCCCAAAACAGCTTTCCTTAAATTTGGAAACTTCCCTGACTCCCATTGCACAGCTGGGTTTGACCCTTCCAACGTATTTCCCTTGGTCTTGTTATTTTTGCACAATGAAGGTACTTCTTTTATGGGCACCTTGGTGCATCCTGGGATAAGAGGTGTAGCTTGTAAGCCTTGAGTTCTGCCTGTGCTGCTCTGGGGAAATCACACCCAGGGAACCGCACAGGAAGCCAAGAAAGGAAATGCAGCAGCAGCTCTGGAAGGACTGAGCAGCCTCTTGGTTCAGACGAGCCTGGGGCTCCTGAGACATCATTTCACTGCCCTGCTCTCTCCTGGACTTCTGTGCATGGCCACTGATGACTCACTGCTTGCTTGAGGGGATAAAAACTGTCCTTCCAGGGGGATAATCTGCAAGGCACTGAGGCTGGAGAGGCTCAGATACTCTGGTGATTGGGACTGTAAAAATATATTTACAGTTGGCACTGTTAGTCTACCAGGTTGCAAAAACAGTCAAGTTAAAATACTGGGCAGTATGTGGGAATTACCTGAAAGGTCTCAGCTCCTGGTTCAACCCCCCACAGTTCTGGCCCTGCTGCAGCACTTCCAGTCACTGATGTGTGAGGAGGACAGAACTCGGGGTGCTGATCTTTCCAGTCAGAGGTGAAGGGTGTGACAGTGGTGCCTTAAGGAGAGGAAAGACTGAGACAGTTGAGAATTGGCTTTTAAAGTGCTTTAGTGACATAATTGTTCATAGCATTGTTCTTTGTACAATGAAAGTGTTTACGTCCCCTGTTACAGATGGTAAATCTGAGATACATGAAGTGATTTGTTCTGAACCAACAAAGGAGTTGATGCTACACTGGGGCTGAGAGCTGGACACTCCTGGTTCCCAGAGTTTGATTTCCATACTCACACTGTTCATTTGCAGCATAACTTTCTCTTGCCATCATCTGACCTGCTTAATTCTCTCCTTCCTTTAAGACCACTCAGTCTGGCAGCTTTTAAACAATATTTCCATTTTACCACAGCATTGAAAATAGATGAGCTGACTTACATCAAGGGAAAGAGTTCCCCAAAAAAGTTCCTTTGCTCTGCCACTTGAACTCTCAGCAACAGAACCAGTTGGAAAATAAAAATAAGGAAAATTATTTCCTCTTAAACCAGTGGAAAATAAAAAAGGCTGTGAGGGAGTAGAAATTCACCAAAAAGTTATTTAAGCTTCTTGTTGCATTTGAAACTTAAATGTCAACAGTTATACCCAGCAAATGTTCCCACTGTTCAGCTCCCCCCGAGCAGAAGGTGTTTCCTGGAGGGATGCAGGTTTTGCTCTGCTGAGATGGATGGGTTGGGACTAAATCTGAAGCCAACTGTTGGTGGGAGGCTCCTGTGCTCTGTTTTTGTTTGAACAAGACCTTGGTGCTTCAAAGGGAAAGATAATCTGTGTTTGTTCTGGGGTTTATTTTGGAGGATACATCCAGAGCTGGGGATTTCCTCTCTCCTCCCAGTGGAGTGCTCTGTGCCAGGTGGGAAGCACTCAATGTGTTCTCCATCTCCCCACCTTGCTGCACAGTTGTCTTCAGATGTTTTCTTGTTCCACAGCCATCCAGCTCCTGGGGAAGTGAAGGGTATCTGAGGGATGAGACAGCTGGGAATAAGCTGCAAAATTCCTCTCTTCCCATTGTGGGTCTCTGCTTCTTGTCTTTGCAGTTTTCATTTCCACTTGGCTATTTTTTTCCCTGAAAGGAATCAAAGGCTTTCACGGGGAAGAAGTCCTATTTTGGAGTTCTGGATGGCAGCAGCACGGCCCCAGCTTTGTCTTTCCTGGTTTCCTAAGCGCGTTCCGTCCCTTAACGCTTCGTTTCTGTTGCTGTACCAGCCTCAAAGAAAGAAGGAAGGAATTGTTTCAGAATGTTCAAAAGTGCTCAAGTGTTCCCATGCCCCAGAGTCTGTTTTCATGGAGGACTTTGGCAACCAGAAATGTACCTTTTTTTGAGGTTTTGGCTCCTAAGTCCCCCAGGTTTCTTTAGCTTTGCTTTCTGTCTCCCCTTTTCATGTTCTCATTCCAGCAGCTGTGTATCTTTAACGTGTCCTAAAGATTCTTTCCATATTTTCAGGATTTTTAACACCCTTTTATGCCTCTGGGAACCTGAGTTGGACATTCCAACATAGCAGCTTCATAAAATGTCCCACAGGTATAAAAATATAAATTCTATGAAATACACACAGTGTAGTTCAGTAGCATTCTGGAGATCACTGGTGTCCTGCTCCTCTTCGATTTGAGGCTTTTGAGAAAAGAAATGCTGTTTTAGAGTAAAACCAAACCTGTGCTTTTGTTTTACTAAGTTATTAATCCTCTGGAGATTGAATTCTTTCTGACGACAGGGACAGTCCCATGAGTACCCGAACTACATTTTTGTGTCACTGGTCTCACTGACTTCAAGGACAAACCCAGGATTGTCATAACCTTTCTTCTCTTTGGCTTTAGCTTCTTTCTCGTTGTAGAGGCAGAAGGCACAGTGGGGGGTCTCCACAGCCACTGTCTTGCTGAAGTTCTGGAAGTCAACTCTGTATTTCCCTTCTTTGGTCTTGGACACGATGGGAGCGAAGCGGTAGCCCCAGAGCACCTCCTCTGGGATGTAGGACGTCCTCACCTGGCAGGTGGCACTGGTGGCTTCCACAGTGCCATCTAAAAACACCACCAGCTCAAAATCCTGCTGCAGGATGGTCTCTGCTGCCATGTGGAAGAAGGGGCTGTTCTTGTCTATGATGTGATAAATGGTGAGTGGGGAGATGAAGAAGAGATTCTCGTTGCCAGCATCGACTACAAACTCTATGTTGACTTGGTCCAAAATGATTGTCTCTCCTTCCGGGGTGATGGTGGTCTTGAGGAGCTTCCCATAGATGTGGCTCCCAATCAGGAGGCTCTTCCTGAGGTTTGCCACCCGGATGAGGAGGCAGAGCTTCCCCCCGCGCTTGCTGATGACGGCGTTCTTGCTGAAGGTGATGGTCTTGGCCCTGTTCTTGGACCTGGAGATCTTGGCCAGGATGGCCCCACACATGAAGGAGTTGATGATCACCCCCAGGATGGACTGGAAGATGAGCAGGAAGATGGCAGTGGCACATTGCTCTGTGACACACCTGAAGCCATAGCCAATGGTCACCTGGGTCTCCAGGGAGAACAGGAAAGCCGAGGTGAGGCCGTTGATGTTCTCCACACAGGGGGTGTGATTGATGGAGGGGTTGAACTCGGGCAGGTCTTTGTGGATGTAGGCCACCATGTACCAGAGCAGCCCGAACAGAAACCAGCTGCCCAAGAAGGCTGAAATGAAGATAGTCATTTTGTATCTCCACCTGAGGTCCAGGATGGTGGTCCATATATCAATCAAAAAGACAAACCTGGACTGTTCCACATTGCCAAACTCTATGTTACACCTCCCATCCTTGGAGACCAGCCTGGCCCTGCGCCGGCTGCGCTCCCGGAGGTGACTGGTGAAGCGTTGCCGGAGGTAGTTGAACATTCCCTCTGCTGCTGCCGTTCTGGAGAGCGAGAAACAACAAACACACAGGTTTAATTTGTACCTGCAGGCGAGAGGGAAACTCTGAAAGACTCTCAAGACGCTCGTTTAGGAAAGAGTTGTGTCATTTGCATATTTTCCCACAGTTGGTGGGGAAAGTTTCAGTGAGTACATGAGCAAAAGAACAGTTCCTTGCCTAAGGAGCATTCCAGCAAAAAATAATCATTTTGGCTTGCTCAGTAAACTCAGAGTCAGTCAACTGTTAATACTGTCCTCTGCTTAGCTGAGTAAGTGGAAGCAGAGAGAAAAGGTAACTTCATCGTGGGCATTTGTGGGGAAAACTGGTGGGGTGAGGTGTTCCTGCCTTTCAGGACATGAATCATGGCCTGTTTTTGCAAGTGTGTGTGGTATCTTGGCATGAGAAGACCTGGGTGTGACCTGGGGAGCAAATTCGGGAAGAATCAAGGGTGGATGCAAAAGGCATAATTAAGCCAGACATGCAGTTATTTCTAGTGTAGTTATAGACGGGGTTTGAAGGTGTGAAATTCAAAGTCTGGATTCACAAAAGCATCTCAGATAGGATTTTTAGGTGAGAATAAAAGAGGAAACTAAATTTCAGCATCAGGAGAATTGGGGGTTTACCCACCACAAAGGGGATGCTGAGACTAAAGGATCAGATTCAGAAAACCTTTCTGAAAGGGTAGCTCTGCATCCCTGTGGATTTTATCCTTTATGATTGGCCACGTTAACAGGGAACCCGGGGAATAAGAGTCATTGTTGGAGAAAACACTACTCAGACTGGAGTACGGATCAATGTGCATCTGGAAAATTCCCAGTGTTGGAGTTACTCAGACACACAGACAGGGGACAGGCTGATCTGCAGTCAGGAGCTGCCTGCTGTGTTCACACACAGATCCGGGGCCTGACTTCGACCCAAAACTTAGGACTGTTCTTAGAAATAATTGATTTCTGAGTTTCAGCCTCCAAGCACATGTTTGGTTGCCAGAGAGGATGGTGGATGAGTGCACAGCTCTCACCCACCCCATGTTATTCAGCCTTCGGTGACCAAAACTCTTCTCGTGCAGCTGAACCAAACCCTGTGCTGAGATCAGGTGTCTTGGGGCAAAATGCTTCAGTTACAAACCCACTGAAATAAGAGAAGAACTTGAGGGCAAAATATTCTCCCTGCTGCCTCAAACAAAGGATATTCTGAGCCTGCTGTGCTTCTAAGGATGAGCATCCCCAGCCACAGAGAGCTGAGGTTTTGGGGTCCTGCAGCTGCTGGGGGGGATGTTTCCTCTAGAAGGACCCAGGTTTGATGAGATGGGAGATGCTGAGAGCTTTTTAAGTGTTTGCTATTGCTACTTCACAGCTGCACCACCCTTCCCAATAGAAAGGGACAGCAAAAAAACCCTTAGGAATTATTTTTTTAGAGTAAGTTCAAGATGCTTCACCACTTATCTCAAACACTGCCTCATATCCCGTCCCACCCAGGCTTCCTTCTGGTTAGAGCAAAATGCCTGGGCTCAAATTGTTCTCAAATGGGCTGCCCAAATTGTGCTGGGTTTCATGTGCTGAAATATTTGTGGCAAGAATTGCTTCGCTCCCCTAAGACCTAATTTCATATATCCAAGATGGGGATAATCCAGAGTGCTCCAACTGACACTGATGGGAGTTTAGCGGGCCATTTGTCTCATTTAACTTTAGCCATTTAAACATTTGAGAATTGCCTGTGCCAGTTGGATGTTTGACTCCTAATTGATAGGAAAGGACTCTGGGTCCCCTCTGAGGCTCCACTTCCCACCATATTTTCGTGACGTTAAGAATTGCTGTTTGGCAATTTGTCCCTCTACTCTGTAGGCAACTTTTAGTTGGCTAAACCACAAATCCTCCCATTAGACACAGTTACAAGGACCTTCAGATACGATAATCAGCAGCAAATAAAATATTAAATTATACTGATGGAGCCTAAGCACAAATTAATTGCATATTGTAAAGCCAGAAGTGAATTCTGTTATTTAATGTCCCTGTAAGTATCAGCAGCCCTGAGAATGAATTTATTTCTGTGTCTCACAGTTGCCTTCCTTCTGCACTTAGGCTGAAACCACCTTTCCCCTGCTCAGTAAAATTAAGATAAAAAAAATGAAGGTCACTTTGTAATGTACCTTTTCCCCATTTGAAACTTTTGCTGTTGGATTTATTGGTTGCAAATGTGGCTGCCAAAGGTTAAACTTTAAGCATGTATTTGAGGAAAGGGGAAGGAGGTCACACTTTCTACACAATTCTCAGCTTTTATTTTCCTGATTCACTTTTAAAATATTCGTGTTAATGCATAGTTTGAGCTAAAATAAAATATTCCTGTGCAGGACTCTATTAAAAAAAATTTCCAGTGTTTATCTTTTGACACCCTTATTGTTCAAAAACATTTAGCTGACTCTGGTGTTAATTTTATAACAATATTGTGAAAATTGGCTTTTCTAGAATAGCAGGTGAAAATTTGGGATGTATCACCTTGTCCATCATAAAGTGCACATGGATTCCTTAGGCATAAAGGGGCTCCTAATCCCAGTGAATTAGGATTCTAATTTTCTAATAAAAAAGGGTTTTTTTAAGGTATTAGAACATTAGGAAGGAATCTGTAGGAATCTACAGGAACTCTGGTTTCTAATCTCCCCATCTTCTCACACTGGGGGTCATGAGAAGTTGCTACCACAGTTCTGGTAGTTTTGATTCAGCCTTCCACGGAAACCTTGGGAAATTTGGCTGAGGATCTGGACATATTGACCAGATAATAATCACAGAAGAGCTGAGAACAAACCTGGAACCTTGAAAATAGATCCCCACTCTCCCCGTCCTTCTCCTGCCTCTCTCCACACCCTCCTCAGAGGCTGTTCCACAAGCCCTGCTGCAGCTGCCCCCGAGCAGATCAAAGAGGCAGAAGAATTACACCTTTCTGCAGGCAGGATGACAAAGGAATTCTCCTTTCAACAAAACTCCTGCTCCCACACACAGCTGAAATGTGTTGATTTGCTGCAGCAGGAGCCAAATTCCCTCCTGGATAAGCATGGTGAGAGTATATCCCTGACTGTCTGCAGGAGATTATATAAAGCAAGTTATATAATACAGCAATTAAAGTTCTTTTAATTTAAATCAGTGAAGGTAGCCTGGCTACATCTTAGCTAATATTTACCAAGATGTTTCCTGTTGGGCCCAAAGAAACACAGTGTTTCTGACTGTCTGGGGTGGAATTTCGTGCTGCAGGAGTCAGCAAAGGTGTCCCCAGGCACAGTATGTTTATAGAGGGTTCACTGCTCATAGTCTGACTCAGAGGGGCCTTTACCAACAAAACTCCTCAGGGAATAAACGTGACCTGTCAAGGTTAGCTGGGAAAACGAGGAGCTTCCCCCTCCCTGGCCCAGTCTCGTGTTTCTCAGGGATCACTGGAATAAGCAGAAACTCTCAGATCTCCATTCTTGGCTTTCCAACTAATGTCTCAGTCCCTCTACCCAGAATGTTTGACAGATGCCTGGAATGTAGCTGTTCTCAGATGTATTCCTATTTTTTCTCTGCATTCCTGGGGGTAGGTAATGCCAACCATTGCAGTTCCTGGGAGCTCTGTCCCACCTGGAGCTGCTCTGCTCCCTCACAGATGTACTTGAGTGCTTCTCTTTGCTCTTACTTACTTTCCACTGGTTTGGTTTGAAAAATGTTGGCTGTGGGGGATAATGACCAGGAGCTTTAATTGTTCTGTGGGTGAGTTTTGCCCAGGGCTGTGTGTGGAGCACATTAATCCAGGGAAATGGCTTTAATCCCAGCCAAGTGCAGCTCTGGGGGAGATCAGAGAGCGAGGGAAGGGGAAGGTGGTTCATGTTTGATGGGGGCCTGACAAGAACAAAGTTTTTTTGCCTCCATTTCCCTGAAGTTCTGATATCTGTGGCTTCACAGGCATTTCTTCCCTCCCAGCAAAGGATGTCTGAGCAAGGATGGCAGAACTGAATCATGAGGGGGAGAACAGAAATGGAAAGCAACTGCCTGACCCCACAGCCTTCACTAGAAACACATCTTTGTTGGGGATTCAGATGAAGTTCTAAGCAGCTTAGGTAAAAGAAAGGGGATACAGAGTCAAAGGATTATTTCTTTTCCCAGTTCTGTTCAGTTCTTTGCAAAACTCAGATCTTCTTTCAGCCCTTCCTGTGTTTTCCTCTGTGTTGAACTTTCTCTGAACAAAGTACATGAAATATCCAATTCCTAATACCTCATAAAATGCTTCTTTATCAGGAAAGCAAACTCTAACACTTACCCTCGTGGATTATCTGCTGGTGCTTCACTCCCCAACCCTTGGGAAAGAGCAGCTCCTGTGCCCTTCACTGGCTGCCCTGGAGAGCAGGAATGGCCTGTTGGGATGGGATGTAGGGCAGGAATAGCCTGTTGGGATGGGATGTAGGGCAGGAATAGCCTGTTGGGATGGAATGGAGAGCAGGAATAGACTGTTGGGATGGGATGGAGAGCAGGAATGGCCTGTTGGGATGGGGTGCCAGCTGCAGATTCTGTCCTGCTGTATCAAGCTCTGAATGAAGGAGAGTCAGAGAGAGCTGGCCCTCCACTGAGTTAATTGTGAGTGGAGCCAAAACCCAAGGTCACTGGAGCAGCCAGTCAGCCCTGGGGAATATCTGAGAAGGATCTGATCTGTCATAGGGAATGTCTGAGAAGGATCTCAGCTGCTCCATGCCCTGTGCACCATCCTGAGGGACACATCAGCCCCAGGACCAGCCTTGCTGGCACTGGGAGCTGCCAGAGCCCAGTTTGCTCCTTGCCCTGGCAATGCCAGCAGGGATTTTGTGCCCTGACATACCTCAAAGCACTGAGCACAGGGGCTGGGCCTCCCAAGGCTTGACTGAAATGCCAGTTCCATGTGGGAAATGTGATCCCTCCATCCGGCTCAGGGATAATCTGGAGCCCTGTCCCAGCTCCAGCCCAAGTGGCTGCACTTTGCCAACCTAAAGTCCAAGTGGAATTTCAAAT